GACTATGCAGGGAAGTTCCACTTGATGTGCTAGCATTTCTGCTAAAGGTGCTGAAATAACATGTGGTCTCTTGTGCAAGAAGTGCCAAGCACAGGGCCTGGGCTGGATTTGGATTGGTAGGCTACCTGCCTAGAAAGGTAGATTTAATTTCTATGCCATTACTGATTGGAATAAGCAGCAGTGAACCCAGAGCTACTTCCTGTAAAAGCTGCCCCCATGGAGTTTTAACAGCTTCCGTTGCCAGGGGTTTAGGATGGTTTATGAGCTAACCCTTAGTAATGAGGCTGCTTAGTTAATTTCAATGGTTCACGGGAGCTATTAGCAAGCAGAATCCATTCAGTTCAACCCTGACTCTTAAACAGGCTTGGATGCACTTTGAAGCAATATTAGGATACTTTGTTACTTTAGGTACCTTTGTGTCACTCCAAAAAGTAGTGGGTTTATGGTATTGATTTAAGCTTTAATAAGAGGCTTTCAGCCATCCAGCCGACACGGTGCTTTCCTTGTAAACCAAAGGCAAGGCTGCACATTCCCTGTGCTGAACGCCTCATTGTAATACATTCAGCTCTACCATTACAGGGCAATATGCTAACAAGCCAGCACCAATTAAAAACCTGCCATTTCCATGAAACTTCACGGTACATCTCTCCATGCCTCTTGGTCAGCACGATAGTTCTGCTCCACAGCAACGCAGACTCCACGCGCAGCACTTCTACTTGCTTTATTGCATGCATTTTATATACTGTCAACAGAGGACTGTATTTCTCTTTGCGACACAGAGGCTTAGCTATGCTGAGTCTAGCAGGCAGTCGGGAGCTTTGCTGGCTGCCGGCATTGGCTGCCTTAGTTAATTTCTGTACTTCTATGTTTACCAACTCCTCAGCCATCACTAGGGTTGAACATTTCCACAGGAGAGTGTGACCAGGAGGGGTCGCTGGCCCTGCCTTCCCAGCTGGGAGATGGTAGAGGAGAACAAGGGGAGTGGGCCGCTGGGTGGCAGACTCAGGGAGCCTTCCCCAGGCCAGGTTGGGGGAGGAGGATATCCAGACAAAGCAGCTTGGGACCCACACAGTCAACACGCTGTGGCTGTGGCAGCCACGGCTGAAGGAAGTGTTACTCCTGGGAACACTGGGAAAGTGAAGGGCCAGAGGGAAGGGGGAAGATCTGGTTGTTAGGAAGAGTTTTAAAGCCGTGGTCAATAGAAGCCTGGGGTGGTGGACAGAGGAGGAGGGTGAGAAGCCAGAGAGGGTGTGGGCAGAGTGAGGACACACCCACCCCCACCCTGGGAAAGGCCAAGGAGGCAACTCAGAACTGAATAAATGAAGTTATCTAGATAACGGGAATCCATGGAGTCTCTATAAGGGAAAAGTATGGAACCCCTCTCTCTCTCAGTCTGCTACACACCTTACACATGGTACAGGGCTCTACAGCTCTGCCTACAGATAGCCATACAGGACATGAATTAATCCTGACCTTTGTGTGAGCACTCATACTCATCCTGACTTCTTTGTACTTGGGCCCCTCAACTTACAGCTAGCAAAGGGAATGTACATCTACAGAGAATCCATCATTTTGGCATGTAATAATATGGTGGTGGCTTCTTCAGAATTCCAAAATTCTCATTACAAATTTAAATAAGCAAGTTAATAGTCTTCATGAATGTAGGAAAATGTTGCAAAGTATTTGGGAATTCTGTGTCTTTATTTTGGTCTAAAATTTGTTTGTTTTTAAGAAGGTGGAGGAGGAGGAGGAGGAGGAGATTGGATTTATACCCCGCCCGTCACTACCCAAAGGTGTCTCAGAGCGGCTTACAAACTCCTTTCCCTTCCCCTCCCCACAACAGACACCCTGTGAGGTAGGTGGGGCTGAGAGAACTCTTGACAGAAACTGCTCTTTTTCAAGAACAGCTGTGCCAGAGTTATGGCTTGTCCAAGGTCATCCAGCCAGGTGCAAGTGGAGGAGTGGGGAATCAAATCCGGTTCTCCCAGATTAGAGACCGCGCACTTAACCACTACACCAAACTGGCTCTAGACACAGTGTTTATGATATACATTTCAGGATGGGGGGATGGATGGACATTCATAACCTATGAACAGCATGGAGATGCAGTTGATCAAGATTTCAGATGAAAGCTTTGGCCTGACTCTGAACCAGCTATGAAACATACATTTCCACATGCACATAGCTCCTATGAGAATGTCTTGTGATCCTCAGTTCTGGAAGAGGACCACAGAGGGTACTCACCCCCTCCAGCAACTGTGGATCCAGGCAATCACCATCATCATTGAAGAGAGAATCCCAGGTCTCATTTGCCACGTTGCCATCCTCACTGAGGGTTGCAGGACCAACACTGGTTCCAGTGGGCTCCTCCCAGCTGGATGGCACACTTGGTTCGGCTTCTCCTTCTGCCCTGTCTCCAGATGGATGCTGCAACTTCATGCCCATATTTCTCTGGGCTGGATCTTCCATTGAGGTCCCACCCAAGGGTGCTTCTGCTTGGTCCAGAGTGCTCTCAGGATCCCCCACAGCTGACAAGTGTATAATCTCCTTGGAGGTACATTCCTGTAAGCAGCTGGCAGCCTCCTTGGCAGAACAACTTGCCTCAGGATTGTGCTTGCCATGAGAGTTTTGACCCCCTAAATCAAATGTGGCATTTCCTACTGTCACTGAAGCCTCAGACTCAGAAGGTTTGCACTGGCAGATGTGGAGAGAGAAGCCATCCCTCTTCTCATTGCCACACACCTGTCCCAGTTCACCCTCCTTGAACATGCAACTGGGCAGACCATCCAGCCTCCCACAAGGCCCATCTAAGCAGCCTGCAGCCACCCCTGAGTTACCTGAGAGTTGCTTGACTGCATTTGCTGCTAGGCTACTTGTCACTGTCTGGATCAACATGCTCTCACTCACACAGCTAGACATATTATTCATGTTTTGATCAGACATGTGTTCAGCTGCATGACTATATGCTCCACTCTTGCTTTCCTCTTCATGGTTTAGGGTGCTATACTTATTCACTTCCACTGGAGCCAGAACATTCCTGCCTACATCCTCAGTAATACTAACTTCCTTTGGGTCTGTCTCATCTGGAACTCTCTTGGGAGCATATTCCAACATGCTACTGTCATCTATCTCTGTGTGACTGCAGCTGTCTATCCATTTACATGTGCTATGTGTATTGCTAATGTCCCCCAAAATGCTATTATTGCTGTCTGCTTCATCCGATATTCTCTCACTTGAACACTTTGATGAGCAATCCTTATGTACCTCTCTGCTGCCTGTGTTTTCAAACGTGTCATCCCCACTTCCCCCAGTTGGTCTCAAATCACATCTACTCAGATCCTTAACCTTACCAGCCAGCGTACTTTTTTCACTCATCTCTGTCTGATCTGAGAGTCTTTCACTAGCACACGGCAGCACATTCTCCTCACTGAGCCCTACCTGGTCTGGGAGGAATGCTCCTGCCTGCTTGTTCATCTCAGTGCTGTAAGTCTCTTGCCCTGCAGAAGGAAATATGTGTTTTTGTTCCCAAGTGCAGTCCACACTAGGTAAACCTGGCTGAATTTGAAGACCGGCCATCCTCAGTAAACCAGTGGAGAGCACAGTGCTGCATTCAAGAGGTGCCTCTAATTCCGTGTTTGGCAATAATGCTGGTGTTTGACTTAGGAATCCAGGGGAAGACACCTGAAAGTGTGATTTGGGCTTACGTAGGGGCTGTGGCCTCTCCTTGTACTGTATCTTTGGATTTGAGCTGCTTTGGGGGAACCCATCTCTGGATGTAATTCTTTTCTCTTCTTGGGGGAAGAGGAATCCTCCCTGCTCTCTGTGAAGTAAGCCTCTTCCAGCTTTGGGACTTGTCCTTGCTTCATGTCCTTTAACGACTTCCTTCCCTGATGGACCACGGTTCACCTCTCTGTCAGATCTGGTGGCCAATAAGGTGCTGGTTTTTGATACTGCAATTTCGCGCCGTGCTCTGGGAACATACAGGGCCATGTCTGGTTTCTTGGGCCGTATCCGGGTCCTCTCTGTATCTGGCTGCATAGTGGTTTCGACACCTGTAACAGTGGAAAATAATCAGTTCAATGCCCATATCCAACAGTGATGGCCCATGTAATGGGAAGACATGAAACAGCAGAAATGAGGAGTTTGCTTAGCTTGGAATGGAAAAAGGCCCCAATTGTCACTTCTTACTACGCAGAAGTGCATGGAAAAAGAGGAGGCAAGTAGTAGAATTAGCTGAGATAGCAGCTTCCTCTGGGCAGAAGACAAGTGCGTTTGTGCATGCTTTCAGATATACTGTTATAACTACAACATAACAATGGCTGTATGTATTCTGCAACAGCAAAACCCAAATTTTGAGCTCAGAACACATTAAGAAGAATGTTTGCATATAGTAGCTTCACTTAATTACTTTTCAGTTCTAAGACTCAGGGGTTCAGTGAATGCAGCCAGATTGATTCAGCAGTGGAGTGAAATAAAGAAGACAGAGGACATGAAAAGAGGAGCTGAATATACATTCGAGTGGTAAGAGATTAGCCAATCACAGACCAGGAAGTACCAGCAGTGCAGAACACCAAATCTCTATCCACTGGCCTTCGAGAGCTAAGGCTTCCATCCCCCAGGTGGCATCTCCCACCACTACAACTGATCTCCAGCTGACCAAGATCCATTCCCCTGGGTATAACAGCTGCTTTAGCCGCCTCAGAGGGCTCCATGGCATCACCTCCCCACTGAGCGCCCCTCCCCAAACTCCACCCACTCCAGGCCCCATCCCCCAAATCTCCAGAGCTGTCAACCCTGTTTCCAGATTGCTCTTTCCAATCATGAGGGCTAGAAGTGCACTTTTAATGTAGTAAGACCCTTAGTTGTGTCAGTGCTGGACCTTTCAGGTAAGGCAGTTATAGCTATATAGTTATAGCTATTTGAACGTCTGTTCACATTTAATCTACCCTTGCATCAAATATTTCCTGAAGATCGATTCTGCAACCCAAACACCTCTGGATTCAGATTATCTTTTCGTTTAAATTACTTACCCACCTTCTCCCCAACCAACAGAGGGCCCATGAAAGGTCATATAAATCATACAAAAACAATTAAAAATGAAATAATTTTCCATCATATGATTAAAACTAGCTCATAAGTGGCTCTCACCAAAGATAAAACATTTGCTACCATCACCTTTAACAAAAAAGCTTTGCCTAAAGGTTGGCACCAAAGACAAGCTCCTGACCCCTAACAAGAGATTATTCCATAGCACTGGGGCTACAGCTAAAAAGACCCACGAACAGGTGAATACAGTTCTACAGTCCTGGGAGATAGTGCAGCAAAAATAGGATGTGAGGCAGACAGCTGGCACATGTGTGGCACATACAGAGAGAGACACTCCCTTAGTTATTTTTGATCAATAGGCTATGTAAGTACATACTCCTTGCATCAGAAATATGATGTGAGGCAGACAGCTGGCACATGTGTGGCACATACAAGGAGAGACACTCCCTTAGTTCCATTTTTGATAAATCGTTTAGATACTCCTTGCAGCAGGATTTGATAGCATCAGCTTCCTTTGTGACTATATCTGCCCTTAAATGCCTTTCAGACAGAGCTTCCTAGAAAGCAAAGCAGTCACACCCAATTAAGCCACAGTAGCTTTGCAATAGGTGCAAGACAGGAAAGAAGCATTGTTACAGACTCCTTTGAGATCCCAGATAGAAAGTTGTCCTTGCTTTTTCCAAAGACTGACATGAATAAGCTTGCTTTCTCCACAGCTTCAGCACCCTGACACCAGTGGCTTCAAGACCTGTTGTGATGTGAAAGTCCCTTTTTTCAAACCTTCACATCTCTAGCCCCAAGTAAATTTTACCTCTACTCTTCAGGGAATCACAGCAATGCCTGGCATAAGCTTAGTGCCCTTCAAGGAACATAAGGGGGGGGGGGAATGCTACCTCCAGAACATCAGACATTCCTTCCCAAACTAACCATTTCATCTTTGTAACTACACAACTTTTTGCATTCTATCACAGTAAGTCAAACACATTTGAGGATAAACCAGTTGAACAGAATTAGCTGCAACAGATCAAAATGCAAGTTCAGTCCACACTTAATTCCTATCCTAGACACCTACCAAAACCCTGTTTCTGGGAAACAAGTAACCAGAAAGGGGAGCCCAAGCTACTGAGGTCACTCATGTGTACTTTGAACACAGAGAGGTCAGGATGAGATGCGAGAAGTCACAGATGAGCCGAATAAGGAACCACCCAGGACCTACATCCCAAGAAAAAAAATAACACCAAGCTCCAGTAAACTCCACCTTGCTATCTCATAGGAATGTATTAAGATAATTGATAAAGCCTTCAAAGCTTAGAAAAGAAGGCAAGAATGCCTCTCCGTAACCCTCTCTTCAACACCAAATGCCCAAACTCAGTGCTATAGCAGAAGCTACATGAATGCCATGGCTGGAAGAAACAGCCTGTGCTGTACCCTCTTACCCTCTCCTCTTTACAATCATGTTCTTATGGATATGCAATAAGTACAGTATATAAATCCTAAACTGACAAGCACCTAAAAGAATAGATTTAAGCTCCCACAAACTAAGAAGTAAAAGATCCACAGTATATGCTAAGCATACTACATCTCTTCTTAGCTATACTTCTGAAAATATATAGTACACACACCATTACATTAAGGTTCAAATGTCCATGAAACTGGAGCAGAAGGAGCCGCACTGAGCATTCCACATGTGCTAACACCTGCGCCTTTCCACAAGCACTTTCCAATCCAGTGGGCTTCACACCAGTAAGCCTGATGCGACTAGATGTTCCATCTTGCCTTGTGAAAATGACCTCTACATATATCCAAAACCAAGACAGATCCATGTCTGCACTGAGAGAGGCCCATCAGATAGATGGTGCTCACAGGAGGACATGTGTGACAGAATAATTCTAGGCCTGTTGCATACATGCGGTATGATTAATACAGCGCTTTTTATTCCTGTTTCATTAAAAAGTAAAGGTTCCCTTGCTCGAAAGCCAGTCGAATCCGACTCTAGGGTTGCGGTGCTCATCTCCGTTTCAAAACTGAAGAGCCAGCGCTGTCCGAAGACGTTTCCGTGGTCATGTGGCTGGCATGACTAAAAACCAAGGCGCACGGAACGCTGTTACCTTCCCACCGAAGTGGTACCTATTTATCTACTTGCAATTTCTTGCTTTTGAACTGCTAGGTTGGCAGGAGCTGGAACTAGAGATGGGAGCTCACTCCATCATGCGGCACCAGGGTCTCGAACTGCTGAACTACTGACCTTCCACAGCCTGCAGTTCAGCATCTTAACCACTTGAGCCACCGCAGCTCCACTCCTGTTTCATTACCGGGTGAGTTGTTCCCAGTTCCCAGAACAAGAGCTACTTTGGCTCTAAAGAAAGACTAATAACACAGGGTTGTTCACAAAGGAATGCCTGCTAACTGTGACTTGCATCTCCTGCCATATTCCAGCACAGAAACCTGCTGCTGCATCAAGCAAGCATACTGCAATGTGCTCTAGTTGGGGCTACTCTTGAAGACTATTTGAAAGCTGCAGTTAGTACAGAACACTCTGGCCAGAATGCTGCCTGGAGTGGGTCACAGGGATTCCAGTCTTGTTCCATCTATACTAGCTCCCAATTTGCTTCTGAACCCAATTCAAAGTACTGGTATTGACCTTTAAAGCCATATATGGCTCGGACGCAGCATACCTTAAGGACTGCCTTCTCCCATATGAACCTATCTGCCTACTCTGGTAATTTTCGGAGGCCTTGCGTCAAGTACTCCCAATATTAGAGGCTAAGTCAGGTGGCAACCTAAGAAAAGGCATTCTCAGTCAAGGCACCAAAATTTTGGAACTCCCTCCCCAGGGAGATTAGACTGTGTCCTTTTGTCATTGTCTTCTCCCAGTAAACATATTGGCGCTCCTCCCTGGCTACACATGTTTGTTATTTGTATGCCTTCGTGTTCTTATTGTATTGTCTAATATTTATATACACACATTTTAAATGCTATTTTAATGTTTTAAATGTTTAATGCGTTGATGTTTGCCACCTTGGGTGCCCTATCTGGGTGGAAAGACGTTTAAAATTAGGTACATGGTACCGCTTTGTTAGCCGCCCTGAGCCTGCTCGCAGGATGGGCGGGGTATAAATATAATAAATAAATAAATAAAATAAATTTGGGGGAAGGGCTGTGACAGCGGCAGAAGGTCCCAAACTCAGTCCCTACAGAGCACCTCCAGTCAAAGGGACTCAGGCTAGGAAACAGCTCTCTCTTCCTGAGACAGCTGTTGCTAGTCAGGGGAGATAATACTGAACTAGCATGAGTAAGTGGGGAGGGGCAAGGGACTGCTCACTTGAGGTTATTCTCAGGCAGAGCCGATGACGCCAGAGGTCCTGCCTTCAAGAAGAACACCTCACAAGCTTAATAGGCTAGAAATGTAAGGGGTAACAGGGAGGAAAACAAGCAAACGCCAAGGGTTGACTCCTACCAGGGCAACCTGCTCATCTGGTAGATGACTGAGCTGCATCTATGCATCCAGCTTGCACAAGATTCTTTGGAAATCAGTACTCAGCCTCATGCCACCTTAGTCAAGGAGCCCTCTTGATCAGCACTATTCACATAGGGAAATTAGAGATATAAGGCCAAATGTACACAGTGCAGAAAAATCAGAAACAAAGCTGAGCAAATAACTAGGAAATCTTGCATCCTAGTTCTTAAATTATAAGCTTCTGCTGACGTACAGCAAGGGACAACAACGGAGGAGCCCAGGGCCCACCCACTCGACCTCACCACCCTTCAAGGGACGGAAGGGCCACCTGAGAATTCTGCTTTGCTGTACTGATCGCCAAAAGCCACTCCCTTCTCAACGGAAGGAACAGAACCCAGGAATCCTGGCTCTCAGGATTCTTACAAATACCTGGACACATTCGCTTCCTCTTGTTCAAAACCCCGACCCTTTCCTCCAAACCCCAGACCGCAGGGCCTTCAACTATAACCACCACCCTGAGGCCCCGTGTATTTGCAACCCCCTTGTGCC